ATTTTGCATAGTGAATACTACTGTTATTTCGATTTGAATTACCAATCAGGCAAATGCACTCCTATAAGCACAAATGCAGTTTTTTTCAAAGAATTAGAATATCTAATATAAATACAAAGTGTGTATGCACTTTGAATTTTTTCTTTTCATGATGTAACCTCTGAGCGAGTACTATGTAGACCCGGGTCTACTAAAGGATTTAAAAAAATTTTTTTGCATAATTAAATTTTTCATTGCTTCAATGGAGTCCGCAAATAGAGCCAATGGAGCTCTGAATAGAACCAATAATTGATTCCATGCAGAGCTCCATTGGCCTCATTTGCGGACTTCATTGAAGCCAGTACTGGACTATGACCTGTTATGATCTTGTTATATGTAGTCCAATATTGGCGTACAGAGTTGGCCAATCCACTGGCCTAATGGACAATGTCCAAGCAAATCATACCAGATTTTCGCATAATAACGCCCATGAGCATTATTTCGAAAATCGTATAACTTGAAATAACATGCATGGCTTCGAAGTAATGCTCATACGCGGCTTAAATAACGTGCATGTTTGGATTAGTATACATTAGCCAATTGTAAATATCTTCTTATATCGAATGATCAGCCTTTAACTCAAAATATCATACTTGAAATACTCAAGATAACGTACAGGTAGGTGTTATTATACAAAGATAAGGTAGTATGCACCTGAAACTGGCTTTAGGTAAGTTTCGTCTGAATATGTAATTGACAAATGTACGTATAATCAAGATTGATTGATTCCCTAGACAATATCAATAATACGTATCAGTTATAAATACGCATGTAAGAAGACTTAATCAGATTATATTTTATTTAACTTTTCGATACATATACATACCTCAACGAAACTTATAATTTAATACCAAAATAAAATAAAAATAAAAATGCCAAAACAAAATAAACGTACAAGACAGTCCTGAAAAGCCATTACTATGTATTGGAAAAATAAATCTTCCTCACACCACGTTAAATCGACCAATGCTGCTTCTAACGAATCTATAGTACTTGATAATATCAACCAAAATCAGCCTACAGTTGATAGTTCATCTAATAAGACCTTTGACAGTAGTGCTAGTAATGATAATTCTATATTATCATCACTAAACGCACAATTGAAAACAGAAACTGTCGATTTACGTCTTAATACAACAAGACAATTTCTCCATCTTGTCCAGAAAGGGCGTACAAAGATGGAGGCGAGTAGCCTTTTGGCCGAGAGTTTAGGTAAAGGCCCATGGTATGCGTGGTGTATTCGTGCCTGGGCAAACCAATGGAAGAATTGCAAAGAATTAATAAAGTCGAAACGTGGCCGACATATAAAAACGAAATCTTTAATACATAATAAAAGCATTCGGCTTCAAATAAATCAGTATTTGGAGAAAAATAAATTTAAATTAGCCATTCCAAATTTTATAAGATACGTTAGTAGTATTATGCCTACTTTTAGAATCACAAGTAAAATTATTAGTAGGTCAACTGCACACCGATGGCTAAAATTACTTGGGTGAAAATACCAAACCCATACAAAAAAAATTTATTTTGACGGTCACGAACGTGAAGATGTGGTAGAAGACAGAAATCGTTTTCTGCAAGAGATAGCTAGGTTAAGAAAACAAATGGCCCAATACGTAGGTGAAAATTTAGACCATATTATCTTTCCAGAACTTTATCCTGAAATAGTTCCTGTTACCCAAGATGAGACCACTCTTTACACAAATAATGGTGTGAAGGAGTATTGGAGCCCGGCGGGTAAATATAGCCTACGGAAAAAATCACTAGTAAGAATCAGAATAACTTACATTCTTTAGTCGACTAATCAGTTGACCAAATATTATCAATTAGCTAATTAATTATACGTATAATATTTTAGTTTGTTGACTAATTCTTTATTTCTATTCCTAATCACAGGGTCAAAGTATTCACATTAGTGATTTTTTCTGTGAATCTATCGGGTGTCTCAAACTTTCAGAACACAAAAGTTATATAAATGACTTACTTCCTGATTACATGCGTCTTAAATATACCCATGCGTGTGTTGCTATTTATCCGGGTATAAATCGTGATGGTTGGTGATCAGGTGATGACTTAGTTGATCAGGTAGTTAATCGTGCCATCCCGATATTTAAACGAACACACCTTGGCAAGATAGCTCTATTCATGTTTGATAATAGTAGCAATCATGGTGCATATGCTGAAGATGCCCTTTTGGTCTCAGAAATAAACATGTGAGATGGTGGTAAAAATAGAAAAGGTGAAGATAAAAAACCTCGTCGTAATAGTACAAAGCCTGATAGTTCTGTGCATATAATGAACTATAAAGATAGTAATGGTGTATTAAGACCTAAGGGAATTAAACGGGTTCTTAAAGAACAAAATTTATGGATACCAGGCCTTTTAAAAAAGTGTAATAATTGTAAAAAAAATAAGCCTGATCCAAACAACCCAAACTGTTGCACTTCGCGTATTCTTTCAGCTCAACCTGACTTTGCAGCTCAAAGATCACGCTTAAGAGAGATAAATAAGTTTTTTTTTTTAAAAAAAAAAAAAAAGAAAAATTATATAAAAACCATTACTTACATGCATATAAACAATTTAGGTAATTGAAGATGCCAAGCACATGTGCATCTTTTACCCTAAGTTCCATTGTAAACTTAATTTCATTGAGTCTGTTTGGGCTGAGGTAAAACGTTATGCAAGACTTAATTGTGATTACACTTTTAAGGGCCTCAAAAAAACAGTTCCAGAAGCATTGGATTCTGTTGATTTAATAAAGGTTCGCCATTTTGCTCGCCGTTCTGAGCGCTTTATGAGTGCCTATGAGCTTGGACTTTCTGAAAAGGCTGCTGAATTTGCAGTAAAGAAATATCGTTCTCATCATCGAGTTCTAGAAAAAGTTCTTGAAGAATTCGCTCATAACTAAAATATTTGGTTTTTTCTTTCTTTTTACTCTAAAAAAATATGTATTTAAAATCAATAAATAATTATTCATTTTGTCTTAAAATCAATCGTAATAAAAATCGTTCTTCGTATTTTCTTGTACCCATGATCTTGACAAATTCGTACTATCGATTTTTAGTAAGAAAAAGAGAAAGAGAGTATTGATTATTAACTCAAACCTCTTTTATACTTATTGAAAAATGTAATATTAATTAAGGTCTGATCAACGTCATTGTTGCATCAATTAATAATATGTACCGATACCACAATTCTATTTTTGCCCGTGACTCACGTGATATTCGTTAAGAATCTTAACGAATATCGAAGCCCTGTTGTGCTAAATTCAAGAAGAGTTTGACAGTCAACTGAAGCATACAAAACAACCAATATACATAAACTTCAAGGATATACTTAATCTGAAATCCAGTTACGCAACAGCAAGCCTTGGAGCTCGGACCAAGTCTTTCCACGCCTTCTATCTCAAGGTTCTAGGAGTCTTGGGACGAATAGCTCTATTCTTTGGTGTTTAGATAGATTGATAGTTTTTAACTAAAACCCTTTAGTCACCACTTTTTCAATGTACAAGTTAAAAATAAAAAATAAAATGTCACGGAAGATCGTGAAATCTAAAAATCTTTAACCTAATTCCGACTAACTTCACATACTATTCAATTACCCTTTTTTTATCCTTGGTTGTGCTGATGCCATATTTATACGTATTAGCATTCAAGACCGCTTTGTTTGTTCGAATTGCCATTTTTAGTAAATTTTAATTACCACTCAAGTGCCTTTTTCTCACTCTTGGCTGTGCTTATGCTATTCAGATGATCAACTATCCGTTCGAATTTTCATCCTTAGCAGATTTCACATACTACTCTATTACCTTTTTTTTTTATAATTGGTTGTGCTAATGCCATATTTATATCAGAATCCAAGATCACTTTGTCTATTCGAATCGCAACTTTTAGCGAATTTCACATTCTTAGGTGTGCCTATGTATTCTGATAGCAAAATCCAAGATTCAATTATCCATTCGATTGTCAACCTCAGCAGATTTCACATACCACTTAATTGCCCTTTTTTCATTCTTTGCTGTGCCGATACCATATTTATAGATCGCTTTGTCCATTCGAATTGCTACCTTCAGCAAATTTCAGTGCCTTTTCTCAGTCATAGTTGTGTCTAGACCATTTAGATAAATAAAGATTCAATATTTATCTAACACTACTCTTGTCGGATTTTACATACCACTTCATTTCCTTTTTTATCTTGGGTGTGCCTAGAGATGTACCTCACACGAAATAAATCATTTGATTAGAAAATTTTAATGATTAGTGATTACCAAATGTATACTTTGTTTCTAAAATGAACTTTTGTCACATGGCTCGCGAGAAGTCGCGCGACATGATCTCATGTGCGACATGTGAAATGTATGCTTAGTTCATCTCGCGACATGTATATCTCTAGATGCCTGATATACGTACCATATTTGTACGTATCAGAATCTACGTACGTAATATTGCTTTGTCTATTTGAATTGCCACCTTCAGCAAATCTTAATACCACTAAAATGCCTTTTTCTTATCCTTGGCTATGTTTAGATTATTTGGATAACAAATCAAGATTTAATTATCCATTCTAATTGCCATCCACATCAGATTTCACATACAATACGTACTACTAATTCCCTTTTTTTCATCCTTTTAGTTGTTAAAATGTACCTGTATATATATAATTTTTATTAATTTTAAACAGGATACGTAGGATGGATTTAAAACATTCGAGATATTTTTTATGTGTTGTTCATTATCTTACCTTCCTGTACCACGCAATAGCTTTTCAGCAGGACCACGAAAAGGCTTCATAAGAACTATGTATCAATTTGAAAGTAGAATTGTTAATAGTCTTAAGTAATACGAGTGTTACGTAGCAGTTAGAGTAAGACTAAACAGAACATGCGTAATTTTCTGATTTTTGACTCATTTTTGTGTAACCTGCAATGGATCATATTTTAATTATTTTCTTGAAACTTTTCGATTAACAAATCTTCTTTATATTCGCATACTAAGTTAACAAGAAAATGACGTTAAATAGGAACTTTAATTGCTTGTATGTACATACGTATTTATATCCATTTTGAAATTGGTTCATATTTGAATAAGTATACATAGTATAAGGAACATTTATTAA